AAGCTGAGGGAGGGGAGAAACTTTCAGTTTGAATTTCAAAGTTTTACTACACAGGATTGGACATTTTAATAAATTTCATATACTTAGAAGTGACTAGAGGATTAAGAGTATGAGACGAAGATATCTTCCAGATTGGAGGCAGGTGGTCCTACATCATCATATGTGGAGAATCAGTAGGAAATAGAAAAATAAAGACGTTTCTGAAAACAAATAAGTTGAATCTTGAGGACATTATGCTGAGTGAAATAAACCTGTCACAGAGAGACAAATACTGCATGATTCCATTTATATGAGGTATCAAAAAAAGTTAAATTCACAGAATCAAAATGCAGAATGGTGGTTTCCAGGAACTAGGATAGAGGGAAATGGGAGCTACTAATAAATGGGCATAAAGTTTCAGTTAAGCAAAATAAATAAGCTCTAGACATCTGCTGTACAACACTGTACCTATAGTCAACAATAATGTATTATGCACTTAAAAATGTGTTGAGGACAGATCTTATATTTAGAGTTTTTACCAGAACGAAAATGAAATACATAAAATAAAGAAGTTGCAATTTTAACATAAAGAGGTTGTACTATGGAGCTTCTACTCAACATGCCAATTACATTTACATTTTCTAAGACAGCCGTTAATAACAGGGCTTCCCCAGAGTGTCTTTCCCCCTTCAACACTCACAGAATACACACGGCTTCTGTGCTTCCTTGTAGTCGCATAGAGAATTCCATTTTTTCTTTAATGAAGAAATGAAAAAGTTATTGATTTAGAAACCATAAAAAGAATTAAAATATCTTCTTCAAAAATAGAGGATTCATCCATGTTTATGACAGCCAAACAAAATATCTAGTTTTTTCCTTTGCCTGCGCTCTTTTGATTGCTGTCCAATTAGCTGGTGGTCAGAACAGGCCCATTGCTGAGAAGCCTTATTAGAGCAGCTCTCTGGCTGCTATGTGATTTGTGCTATTTTCACTAATTGGACTCAATTGGTGGTGCTGCTGCTGGGCAGAGTCTACATCCTGCCACAGATCTAGCTACTACGACATCTACCTACTCCTGCGTAGGCAGACATGGCTCCCTCAATAAACATGAGGCCCCTGGGTTAATTCCTTTGGTTTCCAACAAAGTACAGCTGATGGAGGCAGGATAGAATGCAGAGCCTTTCCAAAGTCCAAGGGAATGTCCCAACAGAAGTATTTTTTTTTCCTTTGTCCTTTAAACTGATTTGCTTATTGTCATTTAGAGGGAGGCCAAAACTATTTTTGACAAATATTATGATCCATGGTTACATTTAGATCCTATTTTTCAAGAGAATTTTAACACTGTAACTTGATTTAACATATGTTGACAGAGCTCTTTCATGCCTCAGGCACTGATGAATAAGACCAGGTTGCTAATATCCCGGAGAAGGTCACAGTCTGGGTAGAAGGCAGAAATGTCAACAGACTCACACAACACAATGAGTGCAGTGAACATCTGTGTGGTTTGCCTGCCAGGCAGCCTTTTCTCGTTGTTCCAGAAGAGCACTTGACTTTATCTTTGAGGAATGACCCCTCTCTGTGGGTTTGATCATGTTCCATGTGGGGCCCACCTTCTTCTCCCCAGCTCCAGAGATGGGCATGTAACCCATGCATGGCCAGAGTGAATAGAGCCTTCTCCAGGCCACAGAGCTGGTTTGAATAATGAACTGTCACCTGGTGCACAGTGGGGACCAAGCCTGGGACTTCTGCTGGAACGATTGGAAGTAAAACACACATTTTCCTCTGAAGTTCCTATAGTGGGTCGGATGGTACCCCTCCAAAAGATATGTCCACCAGGAACCTCAGAATGTGATCTTATCTGGAATAAGGTATAAATATAATTAAGGTAGGGAACTCAGCATGATATAATCCTGGATTACAGTGAGCCCTAAATCCAATGATGAGTGTCCTCATAAGAAACAGAAAAGGAACAAACGAATGCACAGAGGGCAAGGCGATGTGACAATGGAGACAGGGACTGGAGTTATGCAGCTGCAAGCCAAGAAACGCCAACCATTGCTGGCAGCCATCAAAGCTAGGGAGGCCTGGAATAGATTCTCCCTCAGGGCCTTCACAAGGAGCCAACCCTGCCAACACCTTGATTTCAGACCTTTGGCTTCACACCTGTGAGAGGATAAATTTCTGTTGTCTTAAGCCACCCGTGTGTGGTAATTTGTTAAGGCAGCTCTAATACAGTTGCTAAGCTGGCAGTGTGCAAGCCTCCAGCTGCTGGTGGCCATCTTCCTACCACGTGGGAAAAACCTGAGAATAAAGCCAACACACAGAAAGTAGAGCCCAGAGCTGGAGGAAGACACATTCCTGCAGACTTCAGTTTAAAATGTGGAGCTAAGCCTACCTGAAGTCAGATTTACTCCTAGACTGTTTTAAGTTTCTGAATCCTAAATTCCCTCATTGGCTTAAGTTTGAATCCTGACTGAGACAGTGAAATAAAGCTTTCTTTACTAAATGTATGCACAAAGGGTTGCAATCACAGAAAAGAGCTCAACTAGCAATACTTAAGGAAATCCAGGAAGGCTTCACCAAAAAGGTATCACTGATGTTGAGTCTTAAAGAATGAAAACCACTCCAGACACTGGGGCTGCAGCATTCCTGGCAGATGGAAGAGGGTCAACACAGGCATGTTAGGAGATGCTCAGGTCATAAGGTATAGAGCAAGAGCACAGTGGGTGAGGGGCAAGGAAGGAAAGGCAAGAAATCTGGCTGTGTGCAGAGCACTGTCTCTTTGTCCTCCCAGCAGCTCAACAAGGCAAGGATGGGAACATGACTACAGAAACCAAAATCTGCAACCTCAAAAGAGAAATAACAAGAGCCAGTAAAAAGAACATGCACTTTGGAGTCAACGAGCCCTGGGTTTGTATCTGATGCTACTACGCACTGACTAGGTTATCTCAGGCTGTTACATACTTTTCTTGAGCCTTGTTTTCCCTTCTATAAAATAGGGATGATAGCAGCCTCAGAGCACAGAAAAACTCAATTAGATGGTATGTGTAAAGTAAGCACTGATAAATATCAGTTCCTTCTTGTTTCAACAAATTATCTGAGGAGAATCTCAGATTTGGGGACAACAGGACAGAGAAACAAAGAGACCCAAGAGAACCTCCATCTTCCATTGAAGCTTTACTGAGATTTTGGTAAGAAAATAATCCACATTTAGCATAATATGATTCATGTTGGAATTTATAAATTAAAACTAAGATCGAATCACAATTTTACATACTTTAAATGAAAGACACACTTAATTTAATTTTTAGAGATGAAAGTGTCAAGTCACTCATCCCTACGGCCCTTGACTATGGGGACCCAGAAGTGTTTCCAGAATCACCATCATATTATAAGAGCACAAAAATGTTCAGAAAACTGCATAATGATTAATGAGCCTTAAAATGAATAAGAAACACAGGAGAGTAAAAAAAAGCAACGAGAAATATGTGTTAAGGGGAAAATGTTTAGAACTATTAACAAGAGCACTCTAAATTTCAGATCCTCCTAGTACCCAGGAAAAATAGCAATAAAGATCTCTAAATGGATTTTCTTAAAAAAAAAATTAACAACCACCTAGGGGGTCACTTACTTTTTTAGCTCTTTTTAACCGAGGCATTAGTTAAAATGAAATTTTGCAGGATGATGTCCCACCCCTGCATCATCCTTTCAAGGAAGCCACACAGTCATTCTGGACTCACCCACTCCAATCTTAGAGCACCAGGACACATCCTTCTGTTGGCCAAGATGCTTTGTTTCAGTGGCATAGATCTCCATAGCATCAAGGGACCTCTGTCCTCCAAGCCTGGGACTTTGTCTCCACTTGTGCCAATGCCAACTCACTTCCTGCCCTCACTCCCACTCTGGTCCAAGCTAACCCCAACCCTTACCTGAAGACCTGCAATAAATTTCTAACTCATCTTCTGCTTCCATCTTACCCCTATAATCCAGTTTCTGCACAGGATCTTCCTGAAGCCTCAGTCATACCATGCTACTCTCCAAATCAAACCCTTTCAAATGCTTTCCACTGCATGAGAATAAAATCCATGCTTCCAGCCACGGCCTATCCAACTGTAGTCAACTGTATGCTATTCATCTCATGTGTTGCCACCCTTATTGGGTTCTAGCCATGCTGACTTCTCCATTGTCTTTCAAATAAACCCTTAATGTGCATTTGTTTCTTTCTTAATAAGATATAATTTGTAATTATTAGCTTGAATTTATAATTATTAGCTAGTTTACTTTTCTTTCCTTTTTTAAATCAGTCTACTCTTTATAATATAAGTCCCTGGAGGCCAGAGACCAGATCTGTGAATTCCCAGCACCTAGTTCAGTTGTTGGAACTTCAAATGGGCACCAATTGTGTGTTGAATGAATGGTGAATAAGTAAGTTTCCCAGGGCCTGGAGTCATGACTGTAAATAGCAGAAGTTCTAGACCTTAGGACATCTTGCAGTCATGAATCACATCACAGGCTTATATGCCTGGAATACTCCAAGAAATCTGAAAGAGGAATAATACATTCAGCATGTTTGTCTACTTTCTGATTTTTCATCCATCCTATTTTTCAGATGTAGAAGATCTCTGGTCCTTAACTCAGCTTTGCCTCACCGGAATTATAGATTCACCATCTATCTGGTTCTGGTTCTTAGAATCAAGTTTAGCAACATGGGGGTCATACTTGCTGTCATCTGCTTAATTTACTGCTTTTCTTTCTGACTTAACCCTGGTCCTCAAACTCTGGTTTCCTGGCTCTCCTTCCTTCCCAAGCACTTTCCTGTTGCAGACCCAGCCATGCCCCAGACCCATGTCTCCCAAGGGACACAAGGCAGGACATGATACTGAACCCTGATCTTAGACAGGGTCCCATTCTCCGCTACAGCACACTTCCACGTGGACTGCCAGCCTGTCCATCTTCCTTTCTCCAAGCTACCTACTTCCTGTGTCTGGGATATGATCACCTGCTGTGTGTCCATTTATCACTCATTCAATAAGCATTCTTAGAGCATCTTCTAGATGTTGCAACTACAGCACTAATTAAAGATGAATGAGGTATGCCCTCTGCCTCTGAAGAAAGAGAGGAGAGTAATTAAAACAAAGTGATAAGATATTTGCATGGGACCTTAGAAACTGACCAAGTCTTCACAATATAATATATCTTTGTGGAATATTTAACATGTATAAAATATATATAGTGTATTTCTTCATCTATTGATGATGACTCAGACGTATCCTCCTATAGACAATCAGTGTATGACTTTCCCTGAGAGCATTAGCCCCTGTTTTCCGAGATCTCTCCTACCAAGCAGCACTCACGCCCTTGGCTGCAGTTTCAGTTTTGCTCAGTCCCTGAGTCTGATCCAGGGCCAACAGTTTGTACCCAGCTTCACCCCACAAGTGGCCAAGGTTTGGAATGGTTTTGCCATGATGGACCCTGTACCTGGTCATCCTGGTATGAGCCCTGAGCCCCTCTCTGTCACTGCAAAGGTACAGTGTTGTCCCGCCCTTGACTTACATTTCAGGTCCCTGGGGATGAATGTGGCCCCAGACTCTGGCCTCCTGGGTTTGGACCAGGAAACCCTGCCTATTTCTTCTCCACTTTCACTTGCTTGGGTGGAAGCGTCCAGTCCTTTGCCTGTGCTCCCACACAGCTGCTAAGGTCTGACTCTGCATGAAGCCATCTAGCAAAACCCTGGCTCTGGCCAGGCGCGGTGGCTCACGCCTATAATCCTAGCACTCTGGGAGGCCGAGGCGGGCAGATTGTTTGAGCTCAGGAGTTCGAGACCAGCCTGAGCAAGAGCGAGACCCCATCTCTACTAAAAAAAATAGAAAGAAATTATCTGGACAACTAAAAATACACAGCAAAAATTAGCTGGGCATGGTTGCGCATGCCTGTAGTTCCAGCTACTCGGGAGGCTGAGGCAGGAGGATCGCTTGAGCCCAGGAGTTTGAGGTTGCTGTGAGCTAGACTAACGCCACGGCACTTACTCTAGCCAGGGCAACAGAGTAAGAACGCCGCAAAAAAAAAAAAAAAAAAACCCTGGCTCTGTGCTAGGGTCCTGACCCCTGTAGCTTGCTGTCTTTACATTTCTCGTGTCCTTTTATGATCATATCCAGAGATATGATACCATGAATGAATAGATATGAGTTCCCTAGAATAAGGGAATTCAGCCTCAGGTGATGGTTTAAGTATCTCTCTCAGAGAATCCCGTGTAAATGCTTACAAAGAGATATGCTTTGTCACATCAACCATGAGGTCCCTATTTTCAAGTTTGTTTGGTTGTTTTTTTTTTTTTTCTACTACCTAACTCCCATTGCCAACCATATTCATTTCTTACGGCTGCTGTAACAAAGTACCACAAACAGGGTAGCTTAAACAACATAAATTTATTGTCTCCCAGTCCTGGAGGCTAGAAACCTGAGATCAAGGTTGGATCCTTCTGAGGCTGTGAGGAAGAATCTGTTCCATGTCTCTCCCCTAGCTTCTGGTGGTTTTCTGGAGATCTTTGGCATTCCTTAGCACATAGAAGCATCACCTCAGTCTCTGCATTCATCTTCACACGGTGTTCTCTGTGTGTGTGTGTCTGTGTCTGTGTCCAAATTTTCCTGTATTCCTAAGGACACCAGCCATATTGGATTAGGGGTCTACCCTACTCCAGTATGACCTCATCTTAATTTAATTAATTACATCTGCAACCCTATTTCCAAACAAGGTCACATTCTAAAATACTAGGGGTTAAGACCTCAACATAAATTTTGGGGAGGGCAAAATTCAACCCATAACACCAATCATGGCTGCTGGATTGAGCCCTGATTTATGGAGTTCTATATGACCCAAGCCCACATTTTGTCCCAGTTCTTTGGATGAATTTTGGATCTGGAACTACCCAGTTTCCCCTGAGGGATCAGCTTCTGTGATCAGGGACTTGCCAGCTGTCCTCTGTATGCCTCACAAGTCATGAAAAGAAGCATGCTTCTCTCCCTGTGCTTAGCCCCAGAGAAATCACTTTCTTTTATTTTCCTTTCTAAAGTCATTTCCTTGTGAAAGCCATTCTGTTTGGAAACTCCAGCACTAGATGAGAGCTTTAAGGTGCAATCTATACTTGCCGTGTTGATGGAAGAATATAGTATAAAAAACACCCTTCTGCAGAAATGAAGCAACATCAGAATCCATTTATGTCATTTTTGTGGGCCCTAAAAGAGTTGGCTTGAGAATTAGAAGTGTTTTCCCAGTTTACTTCATAACTTACCAACTAAGCAACAATTATAGTTCCCTTAAAAATGAATAGCTCAAGAATAATAAAGTCAGAAGGCTATGAGATGCATAGTTGATTGAAATAGGTGCCAATTATTTCAAGGGTCGTGTCCCTTGGCAAAACTATGCTGCACAGTCTCTGTGTGTGTTTGGCAAATACTCAGATTCTTTCTTTGCTCCTTTTACTGTTACCTGACCAAAGCTATTTCATGATTCATTGGGGTCCCACAAGGGAAAGGCAGGGGAAAAGGAGAGAGTGAAACTCAAGTCAGCACATTTTGTTTCTCGTTAACAGCTCTGGGAAGAGGTTTGGTCGGGAGAGGAATTTCAAGTAATGATTTAAACATGTCTTCTGGCAGTTGTAGCAGTGAGAGAGAAAAAATAATGCCTCTTGTAGCAGCTCGGATACACTTCCAAGGCAGTGGTACTCGTGGCCATACGACTCTAGAGTCACATTTGCATCATGCATCATGGCTGGCATGCGCATAATGGGCTATTAAGGGAAATAGGGATGTTCAGAGTGCATTGCTAGGCTTTTGTGTTTCCTAACATGGAGGGCAACCACTGTGCCCCTCTTCAAAATGCTGCTTGATGTGATTGCCAGAGGAAATCCTGTGTTAGATGGAACTATTCACATGAGCCAATGTGACAGTTCATTCAACACATATTTGAGCCCCTACTATGTGTTGGTGCCCTACTCTAGGTGGGGGGAATACAGTGCTGAATGAGTCAGACCTGCTTCCTTCCCTTGTGGTGCCCTGCCCTATGGCCTTTCCATTTCACGTGTCCTTTTAGTCTCCTGTCTCTCTAGGCTATGGGAATTTAGCCTAAGTTGGCATCATATTCTACATTCAACTTTCTGTGCTGCATTTTTTCCTCAGGAAACAATGTTTCCATTTAAGTTATCTAGATTAGTTTAACTCAAATAATACAGTGTACTCTCTTTGAGTCTGGGGTCCACAAATTGTCACGTTCCACTGCTTTACAACAAACTTTTCGTTACATGAACTGCAGGATGCCCTCTCTTGGGCACGGTGTTTTTGGGCAATGTCTCTAAATGATGCCTCCATTAAGACAAAGATCACACTAATCTATACCTGTTTGTTTGCCTCTTTGCTCCCTCTGATACACAGTGACCTACTGGGAAGCAGAGACCATGATACATCTCTGTATCCTCAAAGCCTAGCACAAGTACAACCTGATACCTGCGCTGCAAATGCCCACCAAATTGATTAATACTTAGAAGGCTCAAAATGGAAAAGGAGCAGGCAGATTTGGTGAGCCAATCCCGACTGGCATTTAATTAATTCACATATCCAACTGCATGTCAGCACTATGCTAGGTAATATATTAGTCATGCTAAGAAATAATAAGATTGGTCACTGGTAGGAGGTACAGAGAAAGTTTCAGGAATGACAAGTGCTGGCTGCCTTTAATTGAGCACTTACTTAGGCCTTTGCACTGTCTTCTCCTCATTGAGCAAATTGGATACAATGGTACAAATTGATAGCTGTTAAGCACCAGCCATGAGCCACACATTGTTATGGATGATTTCAATCAATTCTCATAGAATTGTTATCTCCATTCTGCACATAATGAAATTGGGCACATGATTAAGTTATCCAAGGTCCTTTTGCTAGAATATAACAGATCTAGAACTCAAACCCAGCCAGTGAGAAGCTCTTAACCACTCCCTAGTGCTGTTTGGCTAAGAAATTAGGGTTGGGCTGAACCTACAGATTATAGGTTTTGGCATTTGCCAGCAATAAAAAATAGAATTCTAAGTGGCTTAACAGTATGGTAGCCTCTGAAGCTTCCCATACGGGCTACATAGTATAAAAGAAAATACATAAGCCATTGTTGGAAACATCTCTGCCTTTCAGTTCCCAGATCCCGAGCAAACCTGATCTCCAGGCTCACATTACGAACACAGCCATGGATCTGATGACAACAGTCATTCAACAGACAGTCATGAAGCTCCTGTTATGTGCCAGGCATTCTGCTGGGTATGGAGGGATCCTTCCACTAAGAAAAACACATTCTGGTGAAAGGGACATACAGGGAAATTAGCATTACAATCAGAGCAGCAAGTGGTAGGTGCTACAGTGTTAAGGACAGGGATGTACAGGAGCACTCTGGCAAGGATAAGGCAAGATACCCCAAACTGGTCCTCAAATCTCAACCCTTTTTTTTTTTAGACAGTCACACACTGTCACCCCAGGTGGAGTGCAGTGGCATCATCATAGCTCACAGCAATCTCAAATCCTGGGCTCAAGTGATCCTCCTGCCTCAGCCTCTTGAGCAGCTGGAACTACAGATGTGTGCCACCATGCTCAGCTAATTTTTATATTTTTTGTAGAGTCAGGGCTCTCGCTATGGTACTCAGGCTGGTCTTGAGCTCCTGACCTCTAGTGATCCTCCTGCCTCAGCCTCCCAGAGTACTAGGATTACAGGCATGAGCCACCACACTCAACCTCGACCCTTTTAAAGTCACAACTGAATAGTCAGACCCAAGCAAAGACAACTGTCAGGTGACGTGACAAGTAATATTCAACAGCCAAGAGTGACAAGAATTAGACTTAGGGTAGAATACTTACCATGAGGGGGAACTGAGGACAAGTAAGGAGAAAAGAGAAGGTGAGCAATCAGGAACCATTCATAATCCTCCTCTCTGACCCTTTAGGCGGAATTACCACATATCACTAAGAGTGAAGGTAATTAACAAATCAAGCAAAGACCTCTCTGCTATTTCAGATATCCTAGGAACCAGCCAATACACCTGCCATCCTTACAATAATGTACAGCTTTGTCA